GCTAACGTCACGTCCCGGGCCGGACATCCCATACCGGGCAGACGCAAGCTGACAACACCGCAAATACACCAACTGATGCGGTGGAGAATGAAGAGGCTGCATGTTTCCACGACAATGCACGCAACATGAATTGCGTGCAGAACGAGGGACTCGGTTGCCTGTTTTGTGGATACAAGACACACTTCACAGTTCGGTCCAACAAGTCACTTTGGAAACGATGACAATAAATTGTCCCCAGAGCAGGAGTCTGCACCTGTTCCACCTGCTTCCATCGCTGAAGAGAAATCAAGAGAGGCGACGGACTGAAAGACTTTTACAAACGAGGAAGACGACTGAAAAACAGACGGACTGAGAGACATTAGAGGAATTCCAGTTGACCTTCGCTTTGCGTGAATTAGTCTGGAGAAGAGCCGGCTGGTCTAGCCTGAGGCCACACACACACGCACACGCACACACACACACAGACACACACACACACACACACACACACACACACAGAGCAAGAGATGTCAAAGAACCCAGTGTGTTTCAAAGACGAAAGGAAACATTACATGTTTGCTGCATGACATTCCCTAAAAGCGATGATTTGCATCTTTGTGCGTGTCTGCATGTGTGTGTGTGTGTGTGTGTGTGTGTGTGTGTGAGACCTCTCGGCCAGAACTTGAGTGCTTCTGTCAGCTTTAACTGTCTCCAGAAGCACACGACTGTTTCATTAAAGAACGGCGGCAAGAGATCGACACACACATCAGTCCCCCATCTCCATCTCTGGCTCTCAATGCTCCCTTCTTCCCTCCCCCCCTCCCTCTCTCTTCCTCCGCCATTGCATCTTTCTCTCCTCCTAACTGCTGTTTTGACAGACATCATGGGCGGGGCTAACAGCCCCTCCAAAAGAAATTTGTCTGTCGGTCGGTCGGTCTGTCAAATTCTCGGCTGATAGATTGTCGGGGAGAGGGTGTGATGACGACTCGGACTCACCTAAATTCTAGTTTCAGCATATCGCTCTCTCTCCCTCTCTCTCTCCCTCTCTCTTCAATCTCTCTGACATGTATTAAAAGCGACTGAAGGGTAGAGCCGAGATGTGAAAGATACAAATTTTCATTTGGATATGAATACGAGAGTGTTTCATTTGTGCGTGTGTGTATGTGTTTGTGTGCTGCAGGTATATTTTACAAGTTTTTCTTTTGTATCAGTCAGTCATCTTTGGCCTATTAGAGAGCGACTGCGACAGCTGGCATGTACTCGTCATGTGAAGTGTTTGCTTTGGGACTATTGCCTGTAATCTTTGTCTGTCCTGATGTCAAGGCGATGACACGGCCTGAAACATGCCTTCAAATGAATGCTAATAAATGTTGCTACAGGACGCATGAATAGACAACACACTGCAACTTTAAAAGCTATTATAATACGGGTAGAAGAAATCCAGCGTTCTGATTGGTTGAGAGAGAGTCACGGGGTTACAGTTGCTGTTCACATTGACCCGAGTGTTCTGTATCGCTGCGCACTCAAAGTAGCAGGTTTGCTATGGCACGACCGTTAGTTGACAATGCACGGCTGGTAACCGTTTTGGACAAGTAGATAGTAGTTGCTCTGCTTTGAGTTGTCTTAACCCCTGAAACTCTGCGGTTTTCTATGAAATCTACAGATACATTTACTTCCCGTCAGATCACCCTCGACCACTGGTTCATTCATTAATTTCAATTTCAAAGGAAAACAAAACAAGAAAATCAGATTGATGTTTTTACAACATAATGGATAATATAGAACTGACTCATATTCATGAGAGAAGATCTTGGCATCTGAACGAGTTTACGTCAGGCACGTCTCCAGAAACTGTTTATTTGAGCAGCAATAAAACAAAATTCAAAAGGACTGTTAACAAATGAAAGTTACCAAACGTTTAAATGTATTTCTAATAATGAACATAGCATGTACATAAATGACTATATATCGTCTAGTGCCAAAATTAAAAATCTATGATTCTCAATTCATCACCACTTCCAAAACTGTTCATGTTGGTCATCTTCTACGCGGTGCCGCCTGCTAACACGCTCCTAGAAGGTTTGGAATCTTTTTCCAGGACGCCGAGGGTCATGAAATTCTGCCCATCTGTGCAACAGAAACGGGCAATAAAATGTAATTCTCTTCTCCTCTGTGCCACATCTTTAGCCCCCCTCCACCCTCCCCTCCGTTCATCAGCCCTCTCCATTAGAGCTGAAGGTGTTGGGCTTCTGTCTATATTCTCCACATTGAGAGATGTGTCTCTGCTGATTAATTGCTGTCTGATCGCCGCTGTTGCTGCTCCCGGCTAATTTCTCTCTCCCTGTTTTTTTACAGCCTGTGGCGGCCTGGGTGTGAGGGTTTCTGGCGGTAATTGTGCGGTATTTGTTGCTAATAGGATAATAATTGGAGCAGGTGCAGATAGCTGGGTGGTTATTGGGCCTGGTGAGGAGAGATGGAGTTTGGCGCCACGCCAGGGACGCCCCCATGTGCAGCGCCACGACACGTAGAAAGACACTTTAAAAACCAGAGTGCCACAGGAGGGCGGGATGAGAGGGGGGGGCAATTACTCTGCTGTTTTATTCCCATCAATCTGTCTCTCTGGAAATGTTGCACTTTTTTATGAATCTGTCTTTTGACGAATTTCAATATTACTGTATCGGTTTCCTCTCGCCCCGATAACTTCCCTGTTTATTTTTTAGATTTGATACGACCTTTCACCCCTGATTTTTCATATGTCTCTACTAATATTACTATAGTTCTTTAAAATGTGCCTTTACTTTGTAATTAACTGACTGTGGGTTCCCTTTTCTCCCCGTGTTTATGTACATTTGTGGCACATTTGTGGCCTTTTCAACAACTTCAACTGTGATCGGATGCGCCAACTCCTGCAGTTGCTATAAATGCACATCATTCCCAGCTCTCCGCTGTTAGGGTCCTGCTTAGTTACATTTGGGATTTTGTTTTTAGAAAAGCATAAGCACAAGCACTGTTTTTAATAAAAACATATTAAACTGTCACTGCAAAAGAGCATTGTCTCACACTAATGTAATAATCTGCTAACATTTAAAAAACTGAAAAATGTAACTATTCATATTTCCAGGGTACTTTTTGGGTTTTCAGACTAAAAGAAAAGCAACTTTATTCCACATACATTCTTTGACCCTGAAATACTAATAAGAAATAAACCGTGTGGTATTCAAACAGATTAAAACCGCTCCGACGGCGGGAAAAGTTGCTTTCGGCGCCAAGGTTACAACGTCAGACATCTGCTTTTCAAATTATTTACCATGTTTGTTTTTTTTTGCCTGAAGGTCTCCTGGATTCCGAATGAAAGGGAGCGAGGAAACCAACTGTCTAATTTCCAACATGGGGGAGAAAACAAAATATCCGTGAAAGTGCTGAGTAACACCTCTAACCCTCCAAACCGAAGCAAAGCTGCAGTCACGATTAAAGCCAGCGACGTCTCCTCACTAAGGTCATGCTATTAAGAAGCAAGCCGCCACATTTTGGCAGCAACAGTATTGTTGTGATCAGCCCTCGTTCCCCTTTGAGACTCCTCAGCCTCGAATATGGTGATGATATTAATACTAATCATAATATGGCCCGCAAAAGATATAGGCTCTTCTGCTTTGAACTGTAAATGGGTTGCGTTTGGGGGGGAGGAGAGGCGATTAAGAGCCGCGAGACAGTATAAGATGGTAAATCTGGGGAGGCAGTGGCGTTCAAGCCCCCCCCCTCCCACCATAAACAAATAATCCAGCTTCTCAAACCCCCCCTATGCCATCTCAAATCAGTTTGGATTAGGACAGAATACAGGGATATTCCCTTTAATGTCACACAGAGACATAGAGAAAGAGAGAGAGGGGGAGAGGGGGGAGAGGGAGAGGGTGCATCCCCCCCCCGCCCCCCCTCCTCCACGATGCGATGTGTTTAGCCCTGCTTAGCCAAATGAGCTGGTAATAAATGCAGCGCTGAGCCCGTCTGCTGAGGAGTCGCTTATAATTGGAGGGCTTTCTCCTTCGCTTTAGAGAGGAAAGTATTAATGAAGGGGTGGGGTGGAAGGTGTGTGTCGAGGGTGGAGGGTGTGTGTGTGTGTGTGTGTGTGTGTGTGTGCGCGCGCGCGCCTGCGTGAGTGTGTTTGAAAGGTGGAGTGAGTGGGTAAGTGGGTGACGGTGTGTATGCTAAAGGTGGGGTGTGTGAGGTGGAGCGGTGGAAGGTGTGTGTGTGTGTGTGTGAGAGTTTGTGCTTCTAGTTTTTGTGCATGCTTTGCATATACTGTAAGCGTGCGTGTTCGCCCCGTTCATATGGAAATGCAGCTCTACGTCTTCATCTGACGTTGCAGCTCACCAACCAAACACAGATGGGTTTTTTTAACAGTTTTTAACAAACCTGTCGTTATCACATCATTTTGTTCTCCATTTCTCTCCATTCTACTCCACTTTCCTGTTTAATCCTGCTACCTGCAGCGGGATGCCGCTTTGTGCTCCAATAATAGGGAATCTATATGTTTATAGCTCACTGGTGTTTGAGCACGCATGCCTCAGAGAAACCTCAAATCCTTCCTTCCGCTTCTTTTTGCATCCCTCGTTTGTCACAATAACTTTCCTTTACTGTAGCTACACCCAGCGAAATATAGAAAGACAAAACGCGGATGAAGACCATCGCTTTGTTTGTCAACTAAGGTCATTCATTTCCCTCTGGTTAGAAATGTTGACCAGTATGTGACCGGGTCTGTAATACAACAAGCGTGAGGGCGTTCATTCGTCACGGCCACGTCGATAACAACATCAGAGAGACCGTGGCCACACTCACACACACAGAGCAAAGCCAGGTCCCACCCTGTAATATCAGGCCCTATCAACCTAATTGGCTGAGCTGTGACACGGCGGTGTGATGGACGAGAAGGTGATGGATGTGTGTGTGAGAGGCAGAGACGGAGCGAGCTGTTTGGGGAGCCGCGTGGACTTATCACAGCTCTGCGGTCATGGTCGGGAGGGTACCTGTTGATAATCCTGTTTGCCCTCCAGCTGCACCGACAGATGTTATGATGGATTGGCTCGTATACTGTACCACGCAATGTGTGCGTATCCTCACACACACGCCCTCGCAGGGGAGCCGACTGGATCTGGTTGTGAAGTGGAGTTTTTTCGCCGTCTTACAGCTCGAATGACCTGGATTTGTATGAAATGTGTGTAAAAAAGAAAGAAAAAGGATTCATATAAGTTCCAGCATTAACCCGTCTACTTTCTTTCTTTTTTACTCGCCTTATTTTTACTCGCCTTATTTTCAGAAATCAGCAAAACTTCCAAGCAAAGCTGTAAATCCGGCATCTGACTAAGCACAAGTGTTTACTTTGCTCACTTTTCGACTGCCGTTTTCTTTTTACTTTTACTGTTTCAGTTTAACAAATGGCCGTAGCAACTGGAGACAGTCAGACAAAAGCGTTTATTGTCTATTCTACGCCAACGTACACGGTCGGCGTAGAATAGACAATAAACACGGGTGAGTTTGTTTTTCAATTTGACTGAAGGGTGTGTGAGGACCAATACGTTATCAACAGAAATAACTTCTCAACAGCTGCCATCAGTAACACGTCACCTGTTGAACCGAAACACGGGCGGCAACATTAAACGTATTAATCACCGATTCATTGATCGAGGATGATTGCGTTTAAAGCGGCCATTTTAAAACTCGGTTCAAATAAACACTTCAGGTAGTTGTGAGCCTCTGTGCATAACAGGCGTCTTTCTTTAGACAATCAGATAAGTGGTACTCGGGCTGTTGCTGGTTAGCCATGGCTATTATTAGATGATGACCTTCATCGGAAGATAAACCACATACAACATTTCAAATGTGGATTTCTTTGGGAAACTTACTTCCAATAATTCAGGGGAAAAACATGTTCAATGATATGAGATCAGCTGCCTTATTAGCCATAAATCCAAATAGAGACGGAAAAGGGGCAGTTAAAAGCTTACTGTAAAATCTTAAGAATCCTCCCCCAGTGTAGAGCTGCAGGGTATCCAGATAGTCCTGGTTTAATTGGGCGTCACAGAGTCCAGCTTTGGGAAGGCTGCGTACCGGGGTCTGCACTTAAAATCTGAGATAGAGTTGGCCTTTACTTGGCTTAGCACTTGAGGAATACTGGCCTTAACTATGAAAGCCCTGAATCCAGAAACTGACAAGGGGCTGAGCAGGCGATAGCCGGCTGCCGGGATATCTGACAGGTAGAGAAAGACCTTCGTGCTTCCTTCCAGCAAATCCTGCTCTAATGACATTCAGCAGAAAAAAAGAAGTCTCCAGTGCCAAGATATTCATTCCACAATTGACATTAAAGGCACAATGAGCCGGATGTCCGTTGCAGTTCACATCACATTGCAAAATGATTGCACGGCCGAACCTCGTGGTACTACGAGAGCATTCGTGACGGAGAAGACGAGCCAGTGAGACCTTTCAACGGAATATGAAGCTTATCAGGGCAAAGTTACCGCTTACCTTTCATACAAAGTTATGACCCCCATGGGCCGATTCCCGAGGCCATATTTCTATCTACCTGAAGCTCACAGCGTACAATAACAATAACTGTTGGCGGCGTATACGAGGTGCAATCAGTCAGCTACTGAGATTCCAGAAAGACACGACGAGCCAAAGCTGATTTTGTGCGTTTGAGAGTCACAAGGCGATGTTCATACTGCTGAGACACAAAAGCCCCCACAGCATGGAAGGAGCTGTCTGCAGACGTATGGAAAGAAAGCGCGACAAGATGATGAATTCTGACTTGTGATGAAGAGAAAAGGGGGAAAGAAACATCTCCGCTGCGATATGTCTCTAATTGACGCTCACATTAAGGTCTCAGCCGTCTTTTGTTGATCTCGTCGTCCCTCCTCTCTTTGCGGTTTTCAGCCCTAATTTGATTTCTGGAAATCAGGGTTTTGTCTCGTTACGTGATTGACAGTTTCCTTTGCCTTAATGAGTGGGGAAAAAAAGAGATTCTGGCAGATAATGCTGCTCTCTCTCTCCAATAATTAATTCACACGCATATCTGCAACATTAGTTCCAGAGGAGATAATTAAGAAAATGATTTTGGTATTGTTCTCCGGCATCTATCAAGACAACGCTGCTATCTGTTGGTGGAAAAGCTAGTAGTCACCATTACCGTATCTTTTAAGGGCAGTTATTGTGCGTTTGGTAATTGCATGACGGATTTCAAGCAATGGTATTAATTGACCGTAGTGAGCATGCATTTATCTCAAGTGTGTGTCATCACTGTGTGCGAGTCTGTGAGAGAGAGATAGTGTGTATGTGTGTGTTTAAACAAATAAACTATCTTCGCGTCACATTCATTATCATCTTAAGTCATTTATTTTTCTGTTATCAGGCAGCAAACATTTGTGCGTGAAGTTCTTTGTCACGGCTCCGCTATTCAGTCAGTGTTCGGCTGCGTCGCTGTGTTCTCATTGTGTCTGTATCTTGTTCATCATGCTAACGTCAACTGCTAACATGAAAGACAACAGTCGGGCACCGGGCCAGATATTAAATTAAGTGGATTGAGGAAGTGGAAACTTGCCTTTTTTCTGTTTTTGTTTTTTTTCTTCACAATGTAAATCGAAGAGCGTCGTTTTGAATGAATTGAAATGTAAAACAAGTTGAAGTAAAAGTTTTGCATTTGGTTTCTGTTGAGAAGCAGAAGTTGACACGCAGAAGCTACAAAGTGACTGACAGTAATATTCTGAAAAATCAACGTATCGGGATGCTACTGTATTTCAGAATTGCTTCTTAATACTAACCCTCGACACGATGCATCTTCTCTATATTGATTTTCTATATTTTCCGATATCTTCCCAACATTATTTCTGTATCTCAGAGCTGCATCCTGATTCTTGAGGCCAGTGGGACGAGATAAAAGCACTGTAAAATTGTTCAATTGTTTAATATTCCCGTTCCTTTTATCTCTCCACTAAATTGTTGTAATACGCTCGGGTCAAAGGGTCTGCACTGTGATGCCGGACAAGTTGGTTCATCACAGCCTTTCGCCAAAATAATGTCAGTCCTCACAGTTTTTGGTTGGCAAAACCCAAAGAATGGAAATACGTCTATTTATTATTTAATCGAAACATTCCCATCAGTGAGGGGACATGATTAACAGCGCGTTTGTCACTACGATCAAACTATTTTAAATCTTTACCTGACGTTGTGTTTGTGGAGTACACAGTATTTTTCTCCCGCAAAGGTTTTTTTTCCCAACGTGAGACCACATAAGAAGAGGTGCAGGAGGGAAGTCAATGTGAGCGCAAAGAGCAACTGCTTCTGAAGCTGCACAATAACACGTATGTATTCTGTCTGGGCATGTTGCATCTAGTCACGCCAACACGGCTGACAAGGACCGCTTTTTTTTTTACAAAAAACAATACTTTATACTACTACTAATACTTAATTCTTTGGTTGCCTATTGTGCCAGTTTAACATATTCAAACTATCCTTTGTGATTTAGTTGATCAATCACAGAAGCACTATTGGGCTTTATTCTTTTGCTCATAGGTACAAAAGACGAGGGTCCCGTCACAGTGTCACAGTGTTCTAAGCCATTGGTTTTTCTGTAGAACTGTACACTTCAAAAGGTAAGTGAATACCTTGAAGTACTAAAATTCTTCTTTTGTTTTGCTACTTTATTTGAGTGACTGGTGATCGGTTGAAAATGACTGCCCATCATCTCAGAGTCCACAGATGAAGCGTTACCCACCAGATAAAACTACTGTGCCCTCACCGCGCTGCACTTTCTACAGGGCCACGTGCTCCTCTGTGTGTCTGACGGGAAGACAGGTGTGCCGTTTGCCCAAGGTCAAAGTTCACGTCTGTAAAGCAAGCAGTTTCTTTAGCATCACCTCACATACATGCCGTGCATGTAATGGAGTATGTCTCCACACCGCACATGCACTCGTTCATGCATGTTTGTGCAAAAGCAGGTGTGTTATATTTAGCGAAAGGTGCGTTCCTTCACTCTGACGTCAGTCAACAAGACGCTTGACCAAACCCTGATAACTAATAGCCTGTCAGTCACGGAGCCAAACCCCTCCCTCTTAGGCAATAACAATCCCCTTTCTCCAACAACACCTGTCTGATTGTGTTTGTGCGCAAACCCAGCTTATGAGCGTACGTGTGCATGCAAGTGGAAATGCTCGTAGTCACTGCATCGGCGTGCACACGTTTTCTTTTGAATGACGTCTTGTGTAAACTCTGGCCTCTGTTGTACAGCAGGTCCGATGTGCAGGCCTGATAGGCAACGTTCACTGCAGGCCACAAAAGTGCTGTCTTAAATCTGTCAGACCTCCTGTATTTGTTTTAAATCAATTTGTTGTTCAAACATCGGACTCAAACATCACGGTGCAGATGCATAAACCAATGCGAGGATCTTTTCCGGCACATAACCTGTTCTTTGTGATGATGGAAGGACGCACCGTACCTCCCTCATTCTTCAGTTGTACTCACTGCGCTAGCTGATATAGCAGCGGGTAAAAAGATGAGGAGATGGATCATAACTTGGGCAACAGGTGGGCAACATTATTTTTGCCATTTTTACTGATTGTATTATTATCTTCACAGGTTACACAATTATATTTTAATTAAATATCTATTGGTGATATGTTTGATTCTTTTCATCTTTTCAATTTGAGCTATAACCTCCCTCTTAGTGATTTCCTTTATCTTAAATTCTGAAAGACTTTGTAAAGTAATTTTCAAAGGTGGATTTGCGCTGGCACTCGCCTCATTTTTTATTGACAGTGGGCAGTGGGATTTTCAAGGTGTTTTCCCCATCTGTTTCAATGAAACCCACTCCACACTGTGATAACACAAGATGGAGTTTTCAAATCACAGTGTTTTTGTAGCATTAGTCATCTAATCTGAAAGCAGTTTGCTCCTTATTGAGAGATTAAGATGGTGGGGTCTCCTCCAAGAAGCACTGCACTAAGTTTATCAAAGCTTCATCTTCGCTGGAACACTAACTCATGTAAAGTGCCTTTTCTGGGTTCTACTGTGGACATTGGCTGCAGATTGAGCTAAAAGGGAAGTTTGGTAGCATTTCCATAAAAACAGAGGGGCAAATTAATTCCCTTATTGTCTGCTGAGATTCAAGGCTCAAAGTGACATCAGGAGTAAAATGCAGCGAGT